AACACAAGCTGCCACTGATGCCGCTGCTGATGCCGATGATGATGATGATGATGTCCACCAAAACGTGCCGCTGATGGCCATTTTTGGGTGTAGATTTAGGCACTCTCGCACACACACTCAGCACACATTTGCACTCTAGGCAACATTGGCTACTGCGGCGGCTAGCAGTTTCAGAGACAAAAGAGCAGAAAAACTTCAGTGTTTTTCGTTTCCACTTTACAGTTTCTCTCTTTCTCTGAAATTATTAGTCACTGTGCCATCATTGCCCAGGCAGTCGAGGTTATGAAAAAACAAATGACAGTTTCGGTGTGTAAAAATTGTCAAATGGAGGGGAGCTTTGGCAATTTCCGTTAGCGATGCTGTGTATCCCAGATGCGTTCATCATCAACATAAAAAAGAAGAGTTCAAAAGATAGAGAAGAACGAATGTTTTTTGTTGTTTTTTACTGTTGTTGCTGTTCAGTACTGTTGTCGGTGGGAGGCAACAACAATCTAATAAAAAATAGCATCAAATCAAAAAAGACATAGATGGATGTCATATAATGAGTGCCATGAATGTCAACGACAACNTGGGAGGCAACAACAATCTAATAAAAAATAGCATCAAATCAAAAAAGACATAGATGGATGTCATATAATGAGTGCCATGAATGTCAACGACAACGATGATGATGATGAAACGGATGTACCGAAGTCAAACACATAAAAAGAGGTGAAATGAAATAAATGATGATAATGATGAGCGGCATATGAGTGAAAGTCAGTCAATGCAAATGCCATCTGCCAGAGAAGGTGTATGTCTAAGACTTTACATTTATTTATTTATTGTGTTTGTTTTTACTTTTTTTATTAACCTTCTCGCTTTTGTCATTACTGTCATTGTATGTGTAGTTGAAGTGTATAGAGTGCGGTGAATAAAAAAGAACTGCACAATAAATGTCATTGCAACCGCAAATTACAGCATGTACAAAACTTGTACGACACTATTGAAAACTTGGGAGTTAAAAAGGGTACAAATGAAAAAGTGGAGAAATATGATAAAATTTTTGAGATGATTATTTCTGTCGTGTTGCGTGTATCCGTGTTTGTGTGTATGTTAGAAATAAATAGTAAAAGTGATAATGATAATGTTCTGCAAATGTGTGAAAAAAGTATACACAAAAATTTTACTGTTTTTTGTAAATTGAAATTTAAAAAGACAATGACAATTTGGCAGTTATGTTTTTGCTAGAGCAAAGGAAAGAAAAAATGGACAACAACAAAATAATTCCAAACAGGTCGTTGAACTGAGAAAAAAGAAAAAGGAGGCAGTTGCAAAGTGAACATTATTTCCGTCTTTACTAGCGTGTATAAGGTAAGACTTATCAGCAAAAAGGTGCGTCATAGTTGTTGTTGTTGTTGTTGTGAGACCAAAAAATTAAAAGTAATAAAAACGATAGTTTTATGCTAATGATAGCAATGCTTACGACCTTTAAGAAAAAAAGAAGAGAAGGTGAAGATAAATAAAATGATAAAGTGACAAAGTGAAAAAGGAAAAACAATGTACAAAAGAAAGAGAAATAAAGTAGTGACTGACGGTGATATTGATGATAATGATGAGGCCAGCAGAGCGATGCCAGCCGCTGCCGCAATTGTGCCGGTGAACCAAAATGCTGTCACCAAAACATGTTTTTGAAATTTTACGAAAAAATTTAAATGTTTGATAAAAAAAGAGAAAGAGTGAAAGTACAAGAGAAAGAAATGCGACTAAATGTGTTGGTTTAAAGAAAGTGATAAAAGATGAAAGAGTAGAGGAAAGAGAAAGTGAAGATACAAATGGGTAGTGTGAGATGCTCAAGTGGGAGTGGTGGTGGTGGTGGTAATAGTAGTGATGTAGTAGGTGGTGGTGGTGGTGATAGTGATGTTGAAGGTAGTTTGAAGGTAGCGGTCAAGTGGTGATTGTCCTCGTTGATTACCGTTGAGTTCATTTAGATTGTTAGATACCAAGCAAAGTATCCTACTGTTCAGTGGTCAGTGGCCTGCCTCACTTGCACGAGTACACCTCGTTGGTTCGGGTGCAGGTCTTGCACTCGACGTAGCAGCACCAGTGGAACTTGCAGTGGCAGCGCTCTTTTACGGTCACTCTTTGGGTGTTGTAGCTAGTAAAAAAAGCAAAAAAGTTATATTTAAGGTTTTTAAAATCACCTATTGAAGTACTGACCCTCGGCCGCAGCACATGAGATTGCAACCGTCAGTGCCGCTGGAGGTGCGATTGCAGGCCCGACCCGAGGTTCCCGTGGTGCCGGTGTGGTTGCTGGCGTCGCAGTAGTTGGGCGAGTCGTCCAGGTACAGCAGGTCCTCACTGGTGGGCCTCTTCTGCTCGTACCGTTTCACCTGCAGCTTTGAACGCTTGCTCAGGCGCACCTCCGTCGCACCGTCGTACTTGTCCTTCAAAAAGTCGCCCACCTAGAAACCATAAAAAAGTTGTTTAAAAAAGTGTTCCAAGTCTAAAACTTTTAGAAAAGTGGTACCTCTCTGAAGCTGAGCAACTGTNCGTCGTACTTGTCCTTCAGAAAGTCGCCCACCTAGAAACCATAAAAAAGTTGTTTAGAAAAGTGTTCAAATTCTAAAACTTTTAGAAAAATACCTCTCTGAAACTGAGCAACTGCNGCCCACCTAGAAACCATAAAAAAGTTGTTTAAAAAAGTGTTCCAAGTCTAAAACTTTTAGAAAAGTGGTACCTCTCTGAAGCTGAGCAACTGTTGCCAGCAGGTGACCAGCGAGCAGGAGCCACTGACGCCGTGGCATTTGCAAGTGGCGCGGGTCTTGCGCATTACCGCCTAAAAAATGCAAAAAAAACTCGTTAAAACAAAATCTTTTGTTTAAGTTAAGTTAAAAGTGTTTTCCCTACCCTTCTGCCAGCCTCATTGTTGTGGAGGTTCATCAGCTTTCGGGCATTCTCTCGACTGCTCTTGCCGACCTTGGCGCCTGCCTCCTTTTCACGCACGTCAATGAAGGACTTGCTAAAGCGGTAGCCGTAGTCGATGTTGTCGCCACAGCCGCCCCAGGTCCACTCTCGGTTCAGCGACTTGGGTCGGGCGTCACGGCTGCAGCCACAGTGGGTCAGCTGGCCATCACGACAGGCCCGTGCAATGGCGTACACTACGCCGGCGGCGGAGATGGCGTGGGCAAAAGCCGATTCTCGGCTTGCTGTAAAAAGTAAAATTTAAACTTAAAGAATGTTCAATAATATCTCCTGATGATACAGAACTTACCAATGTTGAGGACGTGCCCAAAAACGGAGGAGTCATCGACAGTGGAGCAGTTCCAGCGCTGGCTCTTGAACTGGTACTGGCACTCGTTGATGCCCAGCCGGGCCCCGAGGCCAATGTGCGGTATGTGGTCCTGGTAGAGGTTGCACAGCTGCGTCTGCCCCTTGGAGAGGCCCTTCAGCTCCGTACAGGAGATGACCTTCTTGATCTTGTGGGAGGAGGAGTGTGAAGAGGATGAGTGAGCATTGCCATGCGCTCCCATGCCGTTGTTGCTCATCATCAGCCCGCCGTGCTGGTCCATGTTGTCCAGTGCGCCGTAGTCGCGAATGCTCGGCGGCTGTAGCTGTTGTTGATGCGGTGGAGAGCCGCCAAAGATGCTGGGGCCGCCTCGAGAAGATCCTCCACCGCCGCCGCCCATTACCATGTACGAAGTCAGATCAGGAGAGTTTTGGGAGGAGGAGGAGGAAGTGGAAGAGATGGGCGAAAGGGAGTTCAGTTCGTAGCTGCGCATGTCCGAGGGATACAGTTCATTGTTGAGCAAGCCGATGGACTGCATGCCGAGGTTCCTAGAGGTAAAAGACAAAACAGAAGAAGAGTGGGTGAGCAGCAGAAAAAAAGTAGTGAACAGAAGCATCACACGATTAGGCGATCATCAGCAAAAAGAGAAACAGGAGAAAGGTAAATTGATGCGGCAAGGTGGTGATAATCACCTTTTCTACCATCGTCATGATCATGATCATGCTGAAAAAACTAAGCAAATCGGTAGAGGAGTAGGAGGAGAAAGAGAAAAAGAAAAGGTATTGGGAATGATGATGATAATGCCGCCGCAACTGCAGCTGTATCGTGAGCACAGTAAGCTAAAGCAAGCAATTTCATAGGGGAGATAATAAAAGGCAATGGATAAGACGACACCGAAACAGCAGCAACATTGCACATCAAAGGGATAAATGCGACGGGATAAAAACGCAGGTGCAAANAAGCTAAAGCAAGCAATTTCATAGGGGAGATAATAAAAGGCAATGGATAAGACGACACCGAAACAGCAGCAGCATTGCACATCAAAGGGATAAATGCGACGGGATAAAAACGCAGGTGCAAAGATGGTAAAAGCGAGAAAAGGGAGAGAGAGATGAGAGACGACACCGGTCACGATTCACATCTTCACTTCTCTCGCTTTTTCTCCACCTTCTTTTTTTTCAACGACTCCCTCCACTCAATTGATTTTAGAAGAAGGATCATGGACGAGAGATGATCACACACAAACAGACTAGATCAGGTATCCAATGCTAAGGCTAGCGTAAGCTAATTATCTGCCACTGACATCGATCACAGGACATTACATCGGGGTTCAAGCACTAACAACGACCGACCTTTGTGTGTTTGTCTTGCTGTTGCTGATCTGCAACAGGTAAGTTTGTTGATGACTGCTCCGCTACTGCTGTTAATGCTACTATTTTGACTGTTTCAAACGGTTTTTTCTCTGCTCCCGTTTGCTATGACTGGCGCCAATTAGCGGCGGTAATTGATTAGCAAGAAAACGGAGGAGAGGAAATTAGACCATACAAAGATGTTTAGAGACTGACTGTCTAGTAAAGAAATAGCCGGCGCAAAAAAACAGCTGTGTTTGGCTGTTACCGCTACTACCATCATCATAAACAACAAATTTTTTACCCCAAACGGGACTACTAAATTTTCTTTTTATTAAATTTGACAATTTGAAGCACTTTTAAAGTGCACAAAAAACGTTAATGCCAATTTTAGAACACTAAACAACAGACAATTGTTTGACTCTCTCTTTTTAACTTCTATTTTTGAAATTTTATGCAAAACTTCAAGCAGGTCTGATTGTCGTCAATGCCGCAACAGCTCTGCACTCATGTTCACTGTTCACAAAAATGACAGACAAAAAGAAGGACTTTTGACAGCCTCCTTTTGCTTATCAAAGAAAACAGCCGTCAGCCAACTTTGACAAAGCCTGTCAATTGAAGGCAAAAATACCTGTGAAATAGTTCTTTCTGCAGAGAAAAACACAACTACGGTTGCAGCAAGTTTTGACGGCCAGTGTCGACCTGTGTGTGAGTGTGTGTGTGTGTTTGTGGCCCGACTGTGGTTCACATCACATCAGCACAGACTCACACATTTACCACCATCACCACCACCACCATTATCTTCATCATCCCCATCTTTGTAAGCTTATCGCTGATGCTAATGAAGGTTGACGGGAAGACTCAGAAGTCAGGACAGTGTGATGCAGTGGAAGAAAGGAACACAAGTTGTGTTCTTTGCTCTGATCTCACACTCACACTCACACACACACACACACATACTAGAACTGTGATTTAATTAGCCACTTCTGTTTTGGTTGTTTTGGTGGTCAACCACTATCACAGTTTTTGTTTGCTTTTCCTTTGCTCTAATAGTCAAGAAATGCATTGAGAATTGATTAGTAGCAACTTGTGCAAACTTTTTTTTGACAGTGACTTTGTTGCATGCACACACCACAACAGTTGTTCACTTGAGCAGATTAGGAAGTGGCAGTAGGAAGGGAATGGTGCTAACGGTGCTAACGATTGCTTGCTCGCTTCTGCCTGCTTCTCTGCACACTAATAAATCAGCATTAGCACGATCACCCTGGCCATTGTTTGCCCCGTACACTGATTGACACCGATAGGCAAAAAAGAGAGACTGCCCAAAAACTGCTGCAACGCTCTCTTCAGTAGACTGCTCTGTTGTTGCAATCTGCAAACAGTAATCTTTCTCATTATCAAGTTACCTAATTTTTCCCGTTATGTGTGTTTTAATGACCCCTAATTCAATTAGATCTACGGCAGTCTTTTCGACCTACAAAAACAGTCTGGTAAATGCTGACCACTTGGAAAATGTTTGTGCAACACACAAACAAAAACATATTTAATTGAGGTCATTCACGGGGCAACCAAAAACTCTACTGAACAGGGGCAATAGAGTTGAATGATGTGCTAAACTGTTAAACTCAAATAATTTGATTTTTTTGTTCACTTTCTTTAGTTTAAAAATCGGATCAACATTTCTCGATATTTGAGCTAAGAAAACTCAAAAAGCATTTTCAGAACACTTTATCCTTATTTATTCCCACTATGACTAAGTTTCTCTTTTTACATCGCATTTTCATAAGTCGTCATCTTTATCATTTTTATATTTTGGGCAAAAAACTGAGCAGCAACTCAAACTCGCTTTACTTCACGACTTTATTAGCAGTAGTGGTAGCTGAATTTAGACTGAATGAATAAACAAAAAAGCATGGTTTGCTGGTTGATTCGATGAAGATGCGAGCTTGCAAAAAAGCTAATAAAATTTGAATGCTAAAAATATAATGAAAACGCACACATAACTGCACACAAATAAGGTTTTCAAACTAACATGCAAAGTGAGAGATCAGCACACACAAAAAATAGTTGACAATCAACATTTTTTAGTGTGCTAAGTACTAACGACCATTTTTTAAAAGAATAACGTTAAGCAAAAAAGACGACTGAACAACTACCAGAAAACAAAGCAATTAAACGCGTTGATTTAGCGCAACTACTTTTTGCCATAGAAAAAAAGAAGAAAAAACCCGGGCGTCATCAGCAACAGCAGCGTTTACGGAATTGGCCATCTGAAAGGCATCGTAAAGCGGCAAAGAAATGAGAAGGAGGAAGAAAGGTAGAAAAGTAGAAGAGAGTAGAATTAATCAGCCTCAATTAAAAGCGACTTAATTAGTGAAGAGCTCGGGCAGACTTGGAGTGAAAAACTCGGAGACAGACTCTCGGAGACTGTGTGATCTCAATCGGCGGCAGTTGTCCGGGTGAATCTGCCATGGTTGCTGTTGCTTCTGTATCAGCTTACAACGACGGCGGAGGCAGTTTACAGTTTTCCTTCTTTTTTATCTTTTTAGCGTCAAATCTGTTCAGTTCGGTTGCTGCTGCTGCTGCAGTTGCTGCTGCTACAATAGCATCTATAATTAGACTAATTTGTAGCTGCTGAGGTGGACTGGACTGGACTGCAGCAACAGCAGCAGTAGCTTCCCCTTCCTCAGCGAGCAGGGCGCCAAGGCGTTCAATCGGTGGCCATTTATCAAACTTTGTTTCTCTCTCTCTCTCTCTCTCTCTCTCTCTCTTTTACTCACTAACTTTATTATTAGACTCAACTGGACAGATAACGGTCAAAGGGGAAAAAAGAGAACAGTTGGCAGTGGTCGTCGTCGTCATTGTCGTCGCTGCCGCCGCCGTTGTTGTGAGCAACAATCACCTTTATTTTCTTTAGTTTTTTCCCTCTTTTTATTCTTTCTTTTTTACACGTAAAAAAGGTGACCACGACACTACCATCACAATCCAACAATTGCTTCTGCTTTCTCAAATTTAATTCATCAAAACTGCCAGTTTTTGTATCAAAGGGTCATTTTTAAAAAAGAATTGCAGAAAAGTGTCTTCTAAACTGTTAAAAAAGTTTGCAACTATTTTTTGGTCATTACTGAAAGCAGTGATAATAGTGGCCCAGCTGATTTCTGATAAACGGCAAAAAAGGTGGCGTTGATAGGACAAATGGTAGGGGCTGCAAGATAGCATCTAATGATAAGTTTTCTTCATTTTTCTTTAGTTCACTACTATCTGTTGATAATTTGCGCACCATCTCTTTAATTTGCATAATTGACAGCGTCAATTTGGCGCCTGTTTTCGCTTTTGCTGCTGCTGCCGTTTGTTTGTTTCATTAAAAGGACGATCAACGTACTAAATTGCCGCAACCTAGGCTAAGCTAAACTTGCAGTCGCTACGGTAATTAGTGCGGCGGTGGTCAAAACAAAATGGTCATCTGATACCGGGCAGTTAACTCTCTCTCTCTCTCTCTCTCTCTTTTTTCTCCCCTTTCAAACGGTCTTTTTAGTTTTGCAAAAAGATAAATGAAAAATGAAAAACAGTCAAGATTAACAAGCAGGCTAGATTAATCGGCCGTTTCAGCGGTGGCAGCTGAAAATCAAAATTGCGATGATGAGCGTGCCAAAAAGTGCAAGTTGTTTTGATCTTTTCCAGAAAAGCTTTAGCACAACAAATAATATAGTTTGTTCCAGCTTTGCAAATGGTGAAAAATAGTGCTGAAAACTCTCCGGTAATTACCACCTTTCTTTTTCTACTACTACCGAGCCTGCTAACAACCTTAGCAAAAAAAGTGTTTGCACAAAAGAGAAAACAACACTTCTTTCAGTGGTTTCACAGCACACACACATTTGCCCAGTTAGACAAGTGCATTTCCTTTCTTTTTTTACTCTTGGCTCTAACTCTGTTTGCCTGTCAATTACGCTGGGTACAAGTGGCATGTAATTACGAGCAGCTTCTTTTAAACAGTATAAAAAAATAAACAAACAGGCAAACAAGGCGACACACTGACAAGCACACTGATACACTTTCT